TGTACTGTTTTGCCGTTTGTTATTTTCTCGGACAACTCTTGTCTTAATTTGGATAATATGTTGGATTGCGGATGAGCTCCGTCATTGCCCATTCAACGGTTGTTGTGCTGCTATCCGTACCTCCGATGAATAACTCCTAGCATGATCCAAGAATGATATATATATTAGTAACATCAATCTCTTAAAGCAAGTAAACAAGATATTAACTCGAATATCTAAAATTAAGGGTGAACCACAACTAACTTCCTTTAAAACATTTAGGGTCCATTTGGATGGAGGGATTTCAAATCCATAATAACAAATCCTTGCACTTGCTTGAATTGAAGGATTTGACGAGGAATTTCAAATTCACAACCTTTCTTCTTAGTTGTTTTTTGAGCAATTGCGGTAGATTTCAAATCACTCCAAATTGGTGTCTTTCAAATCCCTTCACAAAATCAAATCCACTTCCCCAAATCAAATCCTCTTCCAAATCGCTCAATCCAAATGCACCCTCAAAAGTATGTCTAACTAGATTACTTAGATTGATTAACGACGTAAATGAGCTGAGCTGACTTGATCTTTTTAATTGAGTTGAACCGTGCTCGAATCAATCCTAAACTTCTCTAATTGTTTTTTTTGTTCGTTTAAAATATAATCCAATCTCAATAAATGACATCTTTACCCTCTCCGAAATGCCCAAATATTTCTACATATAAACTTTAAGATAAGAGTAAAAATAGATAAAGAAAACCAACCGTTATCATAAGCTTGATATCTAAGCGTGTAAGTCCTTGAGGTCCTTCATCTTCCATATAATCGAGAAGAACATCCAAGAAATCTCCGACCCTATCCGATCCATCACTCGAGCGACGACGCTCCGTCCTCATATCAATAATGCCATCAATCAATCCATGCAATCTATCATACGACTTACTGATCTCACGCCTAATCCCTTGCAAATCAAATAGCCTCAAGAAAGGGAAATAATCTGCAAAATTCGGCTTCCCCAATAACACCATTATATTACCATTAAGCATTTCCAGCTCCTCCATTGCACCCGACGCAGGATCAAGCAAATCGTCCGAAAACATCGAGTTCGACATCAACTGCACGATAGTACTAAAAGCTAGTCCTTTAATCTCGACCGCTTCTCCACCTTCTGGAGCTCGGAACAACCGTTCGATCACATTTCTCATCACTTGATTACGAAGTTCTTGGATCGAATCTAGCTTCATAGGCGTGAAAAGATGGGCGTTGCATATTTTCCGGAGTTTCTTCCAGTGGGGGCCCACCGATAGCCACGGCAGAGCGAGCTCGTACCCGTTC